GGGTGCAATCAATACAGCCCACAACCCCAGGAAAGTGGTCTATGTTGTAGAACTTCGTTTTAAGAGCTTCCATTCTAGCTGGATAAACAACAAATCGTGGAAGCAGTGCAGCAATAGCATTAGATACTTTTGCAACTATTCTGGATACACTAGGCTGGGAAACGCCATGCAGATCTCCTAAAATGTATAATGATTTTATTGATATCATGCAAATGACAGAGTGTTATAATAATTTATTTTAATATTAATTTTCACAACGAGCATTGATTTATGGTAATGACTCACCTAATTCTGTCTGGTAGCATCCCTTAGCATAGAACCGCAGGGTTACAAGCACCTGCATTGCTGGGGATATGTCGGTGTGGTGACCGGCATGAGACACTAACCTATCTTCCACTAGACTGATCACAAATCGTACAACTATCTTTCGATAAGCGATATCTGTTTCGAAATTCACGATCACTAAACAATTCAAACGGATCACGTCTCTCTCGAAAAACTTGCGGATTTCTTACTCTCATTTAATTAACTTCGCGGACTTCGTCCACTTCGGCAATAGCCTCTATTTGTTCCGCCATATTTGAGCGACCTGTCACTTTAAACATGCCCCTGCCCACATCTACGAACAGGTCGCTGTTAGTCACAAGATGGCGCCTAATAGCGCGCTGTTAGAGGCTTAAAAGCGGTTCTGAATAGGCTTTTTCGCTAATAGCGCGCTATTAGCTGTTAGTGACCTTAAGAGTGACCATAAAAGCGGTTCTAAATACGATCACCTATAAACTCACTAACAAATAATTTAAAAGCGCGCTATTAACACTAAAAGCGAGTTCTGAATACGGGCTTAGGTATCCTTAATATTCTATTTTGTGTCTCTCATACGCACTCACGCACTTTATAATTGTCTCTCGTTTGATAGTCGTACCGTAGGCGACAAGAAGTGTTTTTGTTTACGTATTCTCTCTATTAGCCTTTTGGAATGGAAAGAGGTAGCTGGAATCACAATACAACAGATTGTACAATGCGTCCGAAGAGCGTGGGCCAGCTATTGGTTCGGATGATAATGATTCAGTACCCACAGGAGATCACAATGAATCCCGTTTGCTGAATCCCTTTTCTTAAGGATAGGTTAGACTCAGACAGCTACTAATCACAATGATATTGG